TCTCTCTCTCTCTCTCTCTCTCTCTCTCTCTCTCTCTCTCTCTCTCTCTCTCTCTCTCTCTCTCTCTGTGTGTCTGTCTCTCTGTCTGTCTCTCTTTCCCATCCACCCCCGCCCCCTTCTTCTTCTTTATTCTCTTGTCTTGTTGGTATTATTCCAATTCTTTGAATTGCAAGGAATGGCATTCTCTCAAAGTTGAGTTTTGCATCCAGAATTGGGCAGGATCATAACACCCTGCAATGTCCTATGACGAAGGACAGTTTGACATGCAGACATAGGTACACAAGGAGTTTCTTTTTTTTTAGATTGCTATCTCCAACATGGACGGACAAATAGTTTTGGAAACAGAACTATTTTGTCGCAGAGCTTGATCCGGCCCATTGAGGATGACTTTCAGTGTCCAGTCTATTACCTGTGCGGGCATTCTATGCGGGTGAAGACGGTAGTCGAGTCAATTCAATTGTGCCAAGCACTTGTTTAGCAGCTATAGAGAAGTTTAGACATTTCCAGTCCAGTTGAGTTGAGGACAGTTGAGTTGAGTCCAGTTAAGTTAAGTCGAGTTGAGTTCAGTTGGGTCATGTTTTGTTGATTCAAGTCGAGTGGAGCCTGATCGTCCTAAGTTGAGCGCTTGTTTAGCAGCCTCAGACATTTCCAATCGGGTTGAGTTTAGTCCAGTTAAGTTGAGTCCAGTTAAGTTGAGTCCAGTTAAGTTGAGTCGAGTTGAGTTGGGTTGAGTTGAGTTGAGTCAAGTCCAACTGATTCAAGTCAAGCTGAGCCTGATCGTGCTGAATTGAGCACTTGTTTAGCAGCTCTGTACAATTCCAGTCGAGCTGAGTTGAGTTGAGTTTAGTACGCTTGAGTTAAGTCCAGTTGAGCCTTATCGTGCTAAATCGGGCACTTGTTTAGCAGCTTTAGATGTTTTATTATTTTTAGTGTTAAGTTGAGTCCAGTTAAGTTGAGTCCTGTTGAGTTGAGTCCAGTTGAGTTGAGTCAAGTTGAGTTGAGTCAAGTTGAGTCGAGTCCAGTTAGATGTTTTATTATTTTTAGTCGACTTGAGTTGAGTCCTGTTGAGTTGAGTCCAGTTGAGTTGAGTCCAGTTGAGTCCCGTTGAGTCGAGTCCAGTTGAGTCGAGTCCAGTTAAGTCCAGTTTATTCAAGTCAAGCTGAGCCTGTTCCAGTTGAGTTGAGTCCAGTTAAGTTGAGTCCAGTTAAGTTGAGTCCAGTTGAGTTGAGTCCAGGTAAGTTAAGTCCAGTTGAGTTGAGTCGACTTGAGTCAAGCCCAGTTAAGTCAAGTCCATTTTATTCAAGTCAAGTTGAGCCTGTTCATGCTGAAAGCGACACAATCGGGGCAAGGCAAGGCAAGGCAAGCCCACTCCTGTTGACTGAACTTGAGTGCAGTTGCGGGGAGGACTTTTTAGTGAAGAACAGACAGCTGGCTAACAGCCTGTGGTTGTTGATTTGCTGTGGACGGTTTTTGTTTCCTTTGTCGTCTTTGTTTGTTGCAGTTGGTGCCTAATGAAGTCGAGTACGAAAACCGAACAATCATAAGTGGGGACCACATCGAGTTCTCGCCCTTTTATATTTCTGGGTTACAAAGGAGAGGGCACGTGCTGAAAACCGCTCGGTACTCAGCGGTCTGCCAACTTATTACTCAAGACTTGGAGAAGGATTCCGAACCGAACCCGGCCTATCCGCCGATCAATGGTTTGTACCGCGGGAAATTGGTGGCGGTGAGCGACCCAAGGAAAGATGGCTCTCCCGCAGGCTTGTAAATTTTCATGAACAGGTTGAGAATTTTGGGACGCACAAAACATGAGAAAAAAAATAAAATAAATTGAAATAAAAATGAATGATGAAATCCCATTCAGGTTGTTTGTCTTTGACAAAGAAGAAGAGGCCGGGGGAAAACGCGTGGTGGAGGGCGCAACTCCTGACTGACTCTCATTGTCTTTTCCTTTTTCGCGACAGCTTTGGAACCACTTTTCCTCGTCGCATTATCAATGAAATAAAATTTAATATCTTCAAGCGGTGGAGCATGTGGTTTAATTCGATACAACACGCAAAACCTTACCAGCCCTTGACATATGAAAGAAACTCCTTGTAAGAGATGTACTTTGACTTCATACATGTGCTGCATGGCTGTCGTCAGCTCGTGTCGTGAGATGTTGGGTTAAGTCCTATAACGAGCGCAACCCTCGTTTTGTGTTGCTAAGACATCGATGACAGAAGTGGATTGGTTACCACTTGCTCTTATGTTTGTTTCGGCGGGATCCATGAACTTCATCATAGACCGAATAGCTCGCGAGCCTTTTTCAACAGCTACACATTTCTCAATTCTAATTTCTAACCATTTGACTAAAAGAATTCAGGCAAAGAATCCTTTTTTTTTATTTATCTTCATTCAGTGAATGGGGTGGTGGCTCCGGAGCCTGCACCCGGCGCGTCGAAGGGAATTCCTGGGGTGCAATCACTGGACCAGGATCTGAAGAGAGAGCAACAAACTGAACCAGGTCTATCCAAGGTAGGAGGACTAGGACTGTTGTTTTCATAACAGTCGGTTCATGAAGTGCGGCAGTTAGTATATATAAGTATATACCTGCTGTAGTCTTGTTCCACCGGACTACCCCTTGTTCCACAGGACGACTCCTTGGTCCACAGGACTACTCCTTGCTCCGCACGAGAGGCCGGGCGCTTTGCTGGGTTTCGAAACTACCCTCTTCACCCGAATAGAACGCCCAGTCATTATATAGTAGCTGTATTTGGTGCAATTTACAGTGTAGATACAGTCATGACGACCGGGCGTCGTATTGGGGTGAAGACGGTAGCACCTCTCTCGCTGTGTCTTAAGAGACCGATTGCTGCGAACAAATGAGGTTCTTCGAACTTCTTCAGGAGGTAGATTGGATTTCTCTACCGTTCGTGCCGTTGTTGGATTACGTCCAGTTGCTGGACCAGGTCACGGTGCTAGACCAGGTCCCAAGGACCTGTTCCAGAAACTGCTTGATCAGGTCCAGTGATCAGTTTGGCAGTACCTGGAATAGATTATCGGGAAGCAGAGCGACTGCTGAACTGGGGGGGGGGGGGGGGGGGGGGGGGGGGGGGGGGGGTTCTTGTCCTTTTTTTAAGAGGGTAGCCCCTAGCATTACATTTTATCGAATCGGATCTGATGATCGATTTGATACCCGAGGATTCAATCTTATGATCTGTTTACTAACAGTAGCAGATGTGTACCAGTCAGGCACAATTCCCTGGTACTGAACTGGGTTCTCATGCAGTGGGACTGTGGGACAGTAGTGAGACTGTGGGACAGTAGTGGGACTGTGGGACAGTATAATCACAACTGTCTGCAGAAGGTTTTGGGGTACCGTCTTCCCCGAAATAGAACATACAGTCTTTATCGCTGCACGTGGGGCAACTTTCTGTATAGATACATCAATAATGACCGTATACGTTCTATTTGGGTGAAGACGGTAGTTGCACAATGCTTGGAACCAGGGCCAGGGTTTTGGGCAGTGGAATAATTATTGGACCATGTTGAGTCCAATAGTAGACGATCTCGCTGCTGAACTGCCGTCTTCACCCAATAGAACGCCCGGTCATTTTGGCTGTATTTGGCCCAATTTCAGTCTAGATACAGTGATAATGACCGCGCATTCTATTCAGGTGACATCGGTAGGTCTTTTCAGCACCTGGATGATTTATGGGTTAGGTACTGTTAAAATAATAAAAATGACAGTTTGCATAGAAAGGTAGTAGCTTGTGCGCTGTAGAAGGTAAAGCAGGAGGTTTTTCTTTTTAAGCAGTCGTTTTTTTTTCTTTTTTAAGCAGTAGGTTTTTCTTTTAGCGTGTACGTCTGTCGTAAGGGACGCTGGATCCGGTGTCCAGCATTACTAATACAAAGTCCAATTCCTGGGGCAACAACAACAACAACAACAACAACAAAAAAAAAAAAAAAAAAAAAAAAAAGCCCAGTAGGTTTTGATGAGCTTATTGTTGTTCCTGAGTGGTGGGCAGATGCCACTTCATATGGTACCTGTGTGCTGGCACTGCTTCATCACGTGCGTTTGAAGGACAATTGGCAGTTGAAGATGGCAGTTCAGCAGTGTTATCGCCTTTCGCAGAATCGACCATACGGTCGTCATCGCTGCATCTGGACCGGAAGTTGGCCCAAATTCAGCTATAATGACCCTGGGTTCTATTCAGGGAAGATGGTCGATGGTACTTTGGCAGCTCTAGATGGTTATGTTGACAGATTAGACCCATTTAGTACCCCCCTCCCTTGACTGGACAGCAGGTAATCGATCTCCTTAGGGCAACATGATCAGGCATTGTAGTTTGCAGCCGACAAGCCAGCCGAGCATGGGCATTCATGCTGGTTTGGCAAATGTGCAGCAGAGTGAGTTTTTCGCCTGATCGTCACAACGTCGGGACACGGTCACCAAGGAGACGAGGCTGAGAACCAAGGACCAGAACTGGTCACCAAGGAACACAGTCTGAGAACCAAGGACCAGAGTCTAGTCACAAAGGAACAGACTCTGGGAAGCAAGGAACAGAGTCTGGTCACTGAGGACCATGGATTGGATTCACCACTAGCATCACTTCCTCTTCGCTTATGAGCGGTCACTTCCTCTTCGCTTATGAGCGGTATACTACATCGATCCAATGAAGCGCTATTGTCATGTCGACCACATGAATGTTGTGATCACGGCTTCATGAGGGACGGAGTGCTTCAAGTTGTACTTAGTTCATTGCATCACTAAACTTAACTACGCACTTTGTAACTGAAGGCGCGAAGCGTTGCGGTAGCATCTGGTCACCAAGGAACGGAGTCGGAGAGAACGGAATCTGATTACCAAGGACCAGAATCTGGTCACCAAGGAACACAGTCTGAGAAGCAGGGAACCGAGTCTGATCATGAAGGATGGGAGTCCGAGCATGGAGGAACGGACGCTGGACACCATGGACTAGACTCTGGTCGTCAAGGTTCCGCCATCAATCCACGTTATTCCGTGGTGCGTGCACTCGCCGTGAGTGGGAGGCCGAAGGAAACGCTCTGGTCCATAAGAGTCTGGTCATAAAGGAACACAGTCTGAGAACCAAGGAACAGACTCTGAGAACCAAGGAACAAACTCTGGGAACCAAGTACGACAGTCTAAGCTCAGACGGGACAGACTCTGGTCACCGAGGAACAGATTCTGAGAATCAAGGAGCAGTCTGAGAACCAAGGAACGGAGTTGGAAACCAAGAAACAGAGCATGAGAGCCAAGGAACAGTTTGAGAACCAAGGGAGAGAGTCTGAGTCTGATCATCACCAAAGAGGAAACTCTAAGTACAGAGGGGGACAGCATCTATGTACTGAGGAAAAGCACTTGAGAATCAAGGAATGGAATCTGACCTCCAAGGAGATCAGATACAGATCGGCAAGGAATCACATATGGATATTCACGAGCCTGACGGCAAGGAACAGATACAGATCAGCAAGGACCGCAATTTTAGCGCCAAGAACCATCTTCCGAGTCCTAACGGGCAACGAGTCTATGCTGCCTTGGCACAGCCGTACAACGAAGCGTTGGCTTTGACTAGGTACCCTGCAAGATACTGACACAGGTGGGAAGAGGAACTCGAGCTAGGGTTAGAGTGCTTTTTTTTTCGTCTTTTTTTTAGGCCAGAATGGACTTTCTAGGGGGGGGTTGATAAAATCAGCCTCCCCTAGTAAAAGCCTCCTTCTAGCCACTTCATCTCTTGGTGGGGAGCTTCTCCTGCTCGAAACCGGGTCCAGCGTCCCTTTCATACATCATGGCATTTGAGTAGTTCATGAAAACCCCTTGAGCTAGGGTTACAGCTGCTTGTAGTTGACGGCAATTCTTTGAAAAGCTAGGAGTCAACTAAAAGGCTGCACTTTCCAGACTAGACACCCCTCACCTGTTCTATTGCTAACATTGTTGATATAGCATACAACATTCATTGTTTGATATGGTTAGCTTTGTTGACGGAAGAACATAGTTTTTCCCAGGTTGTCAGCATTGCCATAGACACCCTTAGCCTTGAGATTGAGAAACGGACGACTTGACTGGAATAAGGTTACATCTGTGTGGATGACCTCAGACAACGAGAGTTTTATACAATCTACTTTTTGATTTGTTGATAACAGTGTCAACTTCTTATGATTTTTTATCTCCTTCATCCTCCTATGATCTTATCCTTTTTTTTTTTTTTTTTTTTTTTTTTTTTTTTTTACATGGACTTAAAGCCTAAAACCACCAGTACGCATCCCCCGCTACGATACGCGGCTTGTGTACCAGCACCACTTTCGGGGCTGTCTCTTATACACATCTAGATGTGTATAAGAGACAGATTATATATAGTGTATAGGAAGGTACTACTCTGATTAGATTGACATTGAATCAAATCTGGGTATAATTAACACTTACTACCCCAAAACCCGGGGACGCGTGCCAAAGGGCTCGCAAGAGCCGGGTCCCGGGCCGAAAGCACCGAAGGCGTCGTTCGAGTCTCTATAGGCCGAAGGCACCCGGATCTATTAACTATATACTGTATACATATATGCTGATAGAGATATGAAAAAAGGAAATCGCTAAGTCACTTAAAGATAGTCTTTCATTTTCTAAAGGTGATGATTTTCTGAAGGCAATCATTTTTCCTCGCGAAAATTACTCTTTGCGCTTAATCTCTTTAATGACTATGCATGTACTTCTCAATTCATTGATAATGATGCGAACTTGTCATAGATTGAGTTTTGTTCTCCCCTTATGAGTTTTTTTGTTTTTTTTAATGTTAGGTTATCTAGAGACAGTCTTTTATTATTTTTCTAAAGGCGATAAAACTTCTTGGAGATAACAATTGTCTTTGTATCTACATTACCAACCGGGTCGTTGGGGTCACCTCGGTTGCCTGGGCGGCCCAAACGGGCAAGGGGCAAGGAAGCTCATTGTACAAAATATATATATATATATAAAAAGTCGAGGAAAAACTATATTGTGCGGAAAAATAAATTGAATAACTTATGGCTTAGGATCATGGTTACCAGGCCGAACGTTCGGGGGCCCCCGGGCTGACCCTCGAACATTCAGGCGTTCGGGGTGCCGTTCGGGGGTAAAACCTGAAGGGGTTCAGCCCCAGCCAAAAATGATTTCGGGTCCAAAAATTACTACTTTTTTATGAGTTTTTTTTTGTAAGTTCTGTAGGACATGCATTACACGCATATAATTTTTCAAGGCATTTTGCCAAGCCTAAAAAGAAAATGAAAAATCGTCAAAGATGGCAGTGTTAAAACGTGCTTGGCTACTTAGTTTTGTTTTGTTTTTCACTTTTCATTTTTGGTTGTGATTTTATTTTGGTGCCTCAAATATTTTATTATTTTTTGAAACTTTTTGCATGAGTTTTGTATTATGTGAAGTACAGATATGCAAAGTTGCAGGACATTTGGTTATGCCAAAAAAAATGAAAAATCGCCAAAGATTGTGGTGTCGAAAACGGGTTTGCGCACTCACAAATTTTAATTCTGTCATTACTCTTTTTATTTTTTCTTATCCTATCCTTTGAGGAGCATTGGCCGCGGGGGAGGTCGACGGTCCGCTGTGCTCCGAAATCGGGTTGAACTTTTAGCGAGGGCCAGCGGATGAAGGCGATCGAGGACGGGGAGCGTGCAGAGTGGTGCGTGTGCCTAATTGTTCACAACATGCCAGAAAACGAGAGAGAGCGCCCATGGGGCCGGGCGGCGGCGGGTGTAGATGCAAGGGAATATCTCAAAGCGGCCGCCGTCGATAGGAGGGCAGGGACCGTTTTTTTTTTTTCTTCTTTTTCATTAGGGCAAAAATTTGTCGTTTTGTTTTTCATTTTCTTTTTCGTCGGGGCAGGAGTTTGCCATTTCGTTTTTCATTTTCTTTTCGTCGGGGCAGCAGTTTGTCATTTCGTTTTTAATTTTTTGCGGGAATGACCCTCACCGTGTGCACTGCGGGCAGTTAGCTAGTTTTTGTTATCAGTATTTTTTTTTTTTTTTTTTTTTTTTTTAAATTCGGTAAGCAATTTGGATGTATTGCTCAGGCAAATGTTGTTTAGTTTATTTTTCTGCATAACATATGTTTTTTTCAGATTTGTTAGATTTTGTTTTTGTTTTTGTTTTTGGCATTCGGCCCGTCCAGAACGCCGGCCAGCCTGCATAGGATCATATTGACGTTCTTTGCTATGTTTAAAATTTTAAAATTATATGTATACGTATATATCGTCAACAAAGGTATATACGTATATATATATCGTCAAACAAAGTTGTCCGGTAAATCGTAGGCAGAGAGGGAAAAGAGGACAACAAACAAGGGGTGTGACAAACTGTTTCATCAGAGTTTCACCGACTCATAAAAAGGATATATATATATATATATATATATATATATATTGAAACTCCGACGAAACAGTTTGTCACAGCCCCTCGTTTGTTGTCCTCTTCTCTCTCTCTGCCTACGGTTTACCGGGCAGTTCTGTTTGTGACGATATATATATATATATAATATTTGTTGACAGTCTCCTTAGCGTTCAGCCTTCTGATGAGTCGATGAAACTTTGATGAAACAGTTTATCACAGTCCGTCGTTTGTTTGCCTTTTCTCCCTCTGCCTACGCTTTATAAGGCAGCTTTCTTTGACTATCAGTTTATTTATCTATATATTTATCTATATATTTATTTATCTGTATCAGTATATATGAAGAGAGAGAGAGTTGTTCAGTAAATCGTAGGCAGAGAGGGAGAAAAGGACAACAAACGAGGAGTTGTGACAAATTGTTTTGTTGGAGTTTCACCGACTCATCAGGAGGCTGGACCTTCAACAACCTGCAAAATCCTCTAACTGATTACTCTGTAAGTGATAATCCACCTCAACCCTGGTTGTGGTGAAGCATCAACGACTGTCCGACAACGGATACCCTGTGGTGGGCACTAGCCACTGCCCTCAAGCTACCTATGTATGATGAAAACCAAAGCAGATTATCACTCACCCACACCATATGGAAAACTCTATAGACTGTCAGTTCACACCTCATCACAAGTTAGCAAAACAACCAAGAAACAAAGAAAGGTTTGTCACTGCCAAAAAATACACACCAGACACGCCGTTGGCATTCGAGGCAGAGAATGGCCGCGTAGTAACGGCCTCGACCACTGTCGCTCGACCTGATCGGAAAAAAACATAACATGCTGCTAGCGACGTTGTGGTATGTATCGTCAAATAGAGCGATATGTATATATATATACATATATAATTATATGTATTTGTAGCACAGCGAACGTGTTTGCTCCCCTCCCCGTTTGCGTGAACGTTTTCCGAACGTGTTAGGGCGAACATATTTAAAGGTGACCTTTTAAATTTTTTGGAGGCAATAATTTTGATTTGCGTTAACAATTTTCTTTGCGTGAGTATTTCTAATGAAGTTGCTTCCTAAAACATGCATTATTTATGAGTTATTGATGATGGTATAAACTTAGTCTTGCACTTACCTAACTCTTTCATTTATGAAGTATTTGGCATAGTCATGCTATTATGATATTAAATAATTACTTTCAAGCTTTCTTTATCGCAACAATCAATTAGGGTCCTCACAAACTACATGACCTCATAATTTTAAAAATTGTGGGCAATGATCAAATATGTCACATCCTCGTTTTAGAATATGCTTCGTAAATCTTTACTGAATGAATGTCGGGTTATATAATTTGAAAATAATTACATTTATGATTATCAATATGAGATGCTACGTCGAGTTTGTCGAAACATCTATCTTTTTTTTTATATCTTGACAAAAGGATGATATGTCCTTATTATTATTAAGTTATATTTGTCATATTTGTTGTTCATATTGTAGTATGGTTTTGCGAAATTGTTTGTTAATCTTTCTACTACATCTTAGGTATTGTTAGTTATCGCAAAGTATATATACTTTCATATGTAAATATATATTTATGTTATTTTTATATTTTATTTTTTTTATTGTTCAAAGTAAATTGTACAGACATTTAATTATCTAATATTATCATGGCGTGTTATGTAAATATCTATTATCCGAATCGCAATTATAATGCTATAGGCAGGGTAGTCGGCGTTCGGTACGGGATGAATGCCGGAACTCAAACGCCCGATTCAGCCTCCTGATGAGTCGGTGAAACTCCGACGAAACAGTTTGTCATAGCCCCTCGTTTGTTGTCCTCTTCTCTCTCTCTGCCTACGGTTTTACCGGGCAGTTCTGTTTGTGACGATATATACTACGACTTCGCTAGCTTCCTGCTACGKTTTTTTCCGGTCAGGTCGAGYGGCAGTGGTCGGGGCCGTTACTAGGCGGCCATGCTGTGCCTCTAGTGCCAGCGGCGTGTCTGGAGTSTATTTTTTGGCTGTGACAGACCTTTCTTTGTTTCGTGGATGTTTTGCTGGCTTGTGATGGGGTGTGAACCGACAGTCTGTAGAGTTTTCCATCTGGTGTGGGTGAGTGATAGTCTACTTTGATTTTGGTTAAGTTAGATTATCATTTACAGTGTAATCAGTGAGGGGATTATGCAGACTGTTGAGGGTTCAGCCTCCTGATGAGTCGGTGAAACTCCGACGAAACAGTTTGTCACAGCCCCTCGTTTGTTGTCCTCTTCTCTCTCTCTGCCTACGGTTTTACCGGGCAGTTCTGTTTGTGACGATATATATACAAGGTTACCTGACCGAACGTTCGGGGGCCCCCGGGCTGGTCCCCGAACGTTCGGGCGTTCGGGATCCCATTCGGGGGCTGAACACTTCCAGGTTCGGCCCCCGCCAATAAATATTTCGGGGCCTAAACATAAGTTTTTTTTTTTTAATTGTTTTTTGTGAGTTCTCTATGACGTAACCTACACGCCTATATATTTTGAAGCTATTCTGCTAAGCCAACAAAACATTAAAAATCGTCAAAGATGGGGGTGTCAAAATGTGCTCGCCCACTCAGTATTTTGTTTTTTTTCACTTTTAACTTTTTGTTTTCACTTTATTTCGGGGGCTAAACAATTTTATTATTTTTTGAAAAAATTTTAATGAGTTATTGATTATGTAGACTACATATCTGTAAATTTTCAGGGCATTTGTCAGTTCCAAACAATAATTAAAAATCGGCAAAGATGGCGGTGTCGAAAAGGTGCTGGCACACTCACTCATTTCGTTTCTCTTTTTATTTTTTCTTATTTTTATCATAGTGTTTATTTTCTGTATTGGATTTTTAATTCGAATTTGGTAAATAATTTGGATGTAGTGCCCAGGCAAATGTTGTTTGGTTTATGTTTCTCCATAACATAGTTTGTTTTCGGAATTTGTTGAAAACTGTTTTTTTTTTGTTGGTCCGCGTTCGACCTGAACGACTGAACGCCTCCCAAGGGGTCCCGTACGTTCGGGCGTTCGGGTTTGGGCGTTCGGCCCGTACCGAACGCTGGTAACCCTGGTTATGACTACAAATTTTAGGCGGTGGAGGAGGGACAAAAAGAAGTAAGGACAAGTCGAAAAAAAAAAACGAACGAGTATAACAATTACAACAACAATTACAGTTATAAAGAAGAAAAAATAAATCAATTTACATTTGGACAACTTGTAATGTAAGAATTGCCCTCTATTTGGAAACAAAAAACGCTCTCTTTTGCTCTCTCCCTGATTTTCTGAAACGAAGTCTGACTGGAAGTTGTAATATAATATAGAGTCATAATGACTCATAGACAATTATCTCTTTTGCTCTCTCCCTAATTATCTTCGAAAGTAATAAACTTTCAGTCATGAAATGAAGTAATATTACTCTTCAAAAACAATGATAATTGTTGTTGTCCAACTTACTACCTTTGTTTTAATGATACCAATTTTTATGATCTCTCACTCCTCTTTGTCAGCAGTGTGGTTAACAATTTTGCTTCCCTTGCTTTCATAACTGAAAATTGGCAGTCATAATATGTTGCTCAATGTGAAAGTGTGTCTTTTCTTTTAGTTCAAACTCAGGTTTTGAAAAACTTTCATTTAGTATGCAAACCCCATCTATTAGAGGAGTTTGGTGGTCGTCTTTTTCATATATAATATAATCATATTGTATATTTTGTATCTGATTACTATCAAACAAGCAAAGTAATAAAATAGTTCATAATTTAGTTAACAACTCTTGTATATGTCGATATTAGCGAAAATGTTGGCGGACAGATAACCTGTTAGCCTTTTTAGTTACAAGTTCCTTAAAAAATGCAAAAGTATAATTGCATTAATGTGAAAACCATAGACCAATCATATCAGGGGATCTTCCGTTCTCATGTGGCATCTGCATTAATGTGAAAACCATGGAGCCTGCAAACAGAATGTATAGGAAGCGATGACGAAAATTGAAGTCTTATTTTACCTTCGACGAAACCGTATGATGTGGATCTGTTGGGTCGGTTTTTATGATTTTTAAAACTTCAAGTTAGTCCCGTAATCGTCGTTAGTTTCCTTTATGATGAGCTAATGGTGTTCTTCTGCTATACCATCGCCTCTCACGAGCTAAAAAAATTATGCTCAAAATATACGCGCAGGATTTGCGCATTTGACAAAGCTTTGCCTATGTGGCATGCATCGATGAGGATTACAGGGTTTAACACTCTCAACTAAGATGGTCCACCTTGAACTCTGAGCTTTGCAAGTCATGAAGGCGACATGTGGCAGAGCTTCAAATTCATAGTCACATATATCCTCAAAGCACTTTTACCTCCGGTAAAGAGGCGATGTTGACGTCAAATACAACCTTGGGCTTAGTATTAAGTACTATTAAAAAACGCGTTGCAACAAAAAGGTTGTGGTTTGGACCCAAGTTGGCCCTCATTGTCTGGGCGCACTCTAGGGTGCTGTTATAGCATAACTCTCCACATACTTGCCTCCCACCTACCGTCTTCACCCGAATAGAACGCCCAGCCGTTATCGCTACATCTGGACTGAAATTTGGGCCAAATGCAGCTATAATGACCGGGCGTTCCATTCGGGTGAAGACGGGAGAACTGTGCACATGCATACATACATACATACATACAAGAAAGTACACACTCAAGATACTAAAGATTGGAAGGAGGGACTCCTTTTTGCGACACCACCAGCAGAGAGGGGTGGATGTTATTAGGGGTGTGGGCTTGGGGAGGAAGCAATGCTATCACCTCCTTGTAGGGAGCAAGAGCAAATTGGGGTGTGTTATTCCTTGGGTCGGAGGGGGGCAGGGTAGTGTCACAGGGGAAGTCACATTCAGGTGGGCTAGGAGAGCACAAGTCTGGTTGGAGCATTGTCATGGAGGAAGTTGGGGCTTGCTGCACCACTTACCAAATGTGTAAGTGGAGAATGTACCTTCTCCTACAACGTGGCAAAATGCATCCACCATATTTTTGTCTTTTTCTCATTTGGTTGTCAGTGTGGTGAGGTCCTTGTCGAGGTGAAGCGAAGATTAGAAGAATGGGGAAGATGGAGAGAAGGAAGTTTACCTCGTTGCCTGTGGAGATGGTGCACAGATCTGAACGGGGTGCGAGATGAGGCACGCGGACGTGAATGGCATGGGGTTGTGGGCTGACGTGCATCGTTCATTTCAAATTCCAATTTGGAATGCCATCTAAGGCCCACCAATGGGTGTCGGTACACCCACGATTTTGCCAGCCCGGTTTCTGGGCATGAGCATAATTCCGTGGTCCAGAAATGAGGGTCTGTGGGACTGGGTACTCCCGCGATTTCGCTTGGGGGAAAAGTTGGGTACTGTCCAAAGTTGAACGGGGTCCGGGTATAGATGCAAGTTGGCGCTGGGACTGGGTATGGCGGGCATTCCCATCTTTAAACCACCAGTACGTCGCCCATACATTGGCCGCCTAGAGCTGCGGCGTTTCCTCTGGAATGAATCTGGACTGGAGCCACCAGGCCCGGTCGGTTCAACACGTTGCAGCTCGTATGTGGCTGCGACTTTTGGAAGTACCAGTACTTCGTTCATACGTCAAACCGTGACATTTCCACTTGAATGAATTTGGACCAGAGCCGCCAGGTCCGTTCTGCCCAGCGCACTGCGGGCGGTATACTGCATTGACTTTCGAAAGCACTGGGTTTAATTGGGGTACAGATGCAACTTTCCCCTTCATTTTAATTTGATTGACCGGATGGATCAGAACAGAAACTACAGTTGATCTTAGCCAAAATCCGGAGAAAGGTATCAGCCTGTAGGGTTCGAACCCATGACCTGTTCTGTGTAGCACCCAGGCAGCCATAGGGCCGGACCCCAGAGGCATGCGGAAAGCGCAGGTTTTGGCGTGGAGGTTTTTTTCAGACCCCACGGTCCGCCGGTCGGGGCCTGGAAGAACTTCAGCTTCCGTTTCCACTCGCTGTAATGATGGCGGAATCCTCCATGGCACCTCAGAATTCCGAAAAAAAATGGCAGAGTTACATGGTAGGTCCCAGAGAGGGCCTCCGTCACGGACGGAGGCAGCGGGGGTGGACGCGAAGCAAGTCGTGGCCCCTCACTTTCCCGTTCGGGAAAACAACGGAAACATTTCCTATTTCGGTCAATGGGAGCGACAGGGATGCCACGCCTTGCGGTCGCAGTGGGGTCCCGCTGTCCTTCGAAGGTCTGTTCGCCATTTTGCGTTGCCGCATGCCTGTGGGGTCCTGTCTGGGCCATAGTTGGGTCTTTTTTTTGGGTGGAGGTGGGATACTAGGCCATAGTTGGGTCTTATCGGCCGCGAGAAAAATGTCTTGGACTTTTCGACGAACGGCGGGCAGAGGTTGCGTGATCGAGGCCGGTCTCCGCCTACCCCTTACTCATACCCGAACCACCATTATACGGGTAGTACGATCCCGACAACTCCGACGAAACATTTTATCACAGCCCCTCGTTTGTTGTCCTCTTCTCTCCCTCCTCCCTCTCTGCCTACGGTTTACCGGGCAGCTCTGTTTGACTATATATACAGCATATATTTACATTTATTTGGCCAACGTGGCCACGACAGCCATGGCTTTGCACATCAGCAATACCGCTTTCGTGAAGGCTTTGTCACGGTTATCCCCAGCGACCGGTAGGCCAGTTGTGGGCTGCCGCAGGTCACCTTGGGTCCATCTCCATCTTCCTCTTCGCCAGCGACCGGTAGGCCGTGACTGCTTGTGCGCGCAATCGACGGTCGTGGGCGCTCGCAGGGTCTGGCTCTCGGGTCGTCCTCGGGTCGACGGGCAACGGCAATCGTCGTTGACCTGTGCTCTGCAGAAGAAGAGTATGGCTTTTGGTAGCAGCGAAGTGGGAAGTAACGTGATGCCTGGAGTCAAGGCGGAGCTGGGAATCGAACTCGTGCCCTGCTTTTCTGATAATTACGCTTATCTTATCCATGATGAGGAAAAGGGGGTAACAGGGATCGTGGATCCGTCGGAGGCAAGGCCTGTAATTAAGGCCTTGGAGAAGAGAGGGCTGGCACTCACACACATACTCAATACCCATCATCATCACGACCACACGGGGGGGAATCTTGAGCTTAAGCGGAGGTACGGAGGAGCGCAGGTGGTGGGGCCCGCAGCTGATAAGGCTAGGATACCTGGAATTGACGTGGCACTTCAAGAAGGTGACACGTGGCACTTTGGCAGTCACCTGATGCACGTGCTCGATACACCTGGCCACACAAGAGGCCACGTGTGCTTCTATTTTCCCGCGAGTAACGCAGTGTTTACCGGCGACACGCTGTTCTCCGTCGGCTGCGGCCGTCTCTTCGAAGGCACGCCTGATCAGATGTGGTCATCCTTATCCAAACTAATTAGTCTTCCCGCCAAAACGAGGGTCTTCTGTGGGCACGAGTACACCGAGGCCAATGTGAGATTTGCCCTCTCTGTTGAGCCCGACAACGAGGAGCTGCAGGCTCGTGCGCAGGAGGTGAAGGAGATGAGGACACGTGGCAAACCCACAATCCCTTCAACGATTGGATTAGAGTGCGCAACGAATCCGTTCTTGCGACCTTCCTCTGAAGAATTGCGGCGGCGATTGAAAATGGGCGGGAACGCAAATGACGTGGATGTATTTGCAGCAGCAAGAAGGGCCAAGGACAGGTTCTGAGTAGAGTAGTAGCGTGTAGCTATAGTGGAAAGGATAGTCGGTGCTGGCTTTTTTTTTTTTTTTTTTTTCTCTCTAAAAGCTAGGCCAATTGCAAAATGGGCGGGAACTGTTGTCTAGAGAGGAAACAAACAAGAAAAAAAAAAGGGCGGGAACACAAATGACGTGGATGCATTCGCAGCCGCAAGAAGGGCCAAGGACAGATTCTGAGTAGTAAGTAGTGTGTAGCTATAGTGGAAAGGAGAGCCGGTGGGTGTTTTTTTTTTTTTTTTTTTTTTTTTTTTTTCCGGGTCTTAAGCCTGGCCAACTGCAAAATGGGCGGGAATGCAATTTGAATTTTGAGAGGGGAAAAAAAAGTGCGGGAACTGTGTTTAGAAACAAAACCTTTAAAAAAGGGCGGGAACGGATGATTAGAAACAAAACAGAAAAAAGGGCGGGAATACATGATTAGGAACAAACAGAAAAAAGGGCGGGAACACAAATGACATGGACGTATTTGTAGCAAGAAGAAGGGCCCCAAGGACGGGTTCTAAATAGTGTATAGATGTAGAGGAAACGTGAGGTGTTTTCCCCCCCCCCCTTTTCTGTGAAAAGCGAGGAAAAGCTTGTGGATGTCATCGTTAGGAGCAAGCTCGTACATCCATAAGGAACTGTGTATTTTAAAAAAAAAAAAAAAAAAAAAAAAAAAAAAAAAAAAAAAAAAAAAAACATTATTCAATTATTGGTTGTGCCGGAACTGTGTGGTTGATGGTAGTATATAAATATATATAAAAACTCCGACGAAACAGTTTGTCACAGCCCCTCGTTTGTTGTCCTCTTCTCTCTCTCCGCCTACGGTTTTACCGGGCAGTTCTGTTTGTGACGATATATATATATATATATATATATCCGATTAAAAAAAAAAAAATTGCCGCTGGAGGAAAAGACTGTCCGATGATGTGAAAGGGTGTGTCCTGTCCTATAACGACTCTATCAGACCTGCAAGATCGGTTGTATCCATTCAGTACCTTCTCTGCAGAATTCCACGGTAGATATCCCTCCGCTCTTTCAGGGCCCCCACACTCCCCTCCCCTCCCCTCGCCCAAGAAGAGGTGGAGATTCGAATCTGTGCCTTGGTTGTCTCTGCTCGCCCTTTTGTTTTTCCATGAATCGGTGATGTATGACTTTTTTTTGTTTTTTTTTTAAATGTATAACTTGTGCAGCAGCAGCATATAAGAAAAAGGGTATTATCGATTACTTCTTTTTTTTTGTTTTGGTGTCATTTACAATCTAATATTTGTCATTAAAAGATTGTTAAGTTATGTAATTACCCACTGCTTGGTAGGATAAGGGGTTGGAGTGGGTGTGCCTGACTTTGTGTGTGTACAAGTACTTGCGAAGAGAATGAGGAGATAAGAGGAGAGAAGACGAGGGAAGAGGAGAGAAGAGGAGAGAAGAGGAGGGGTGAGAGAGGAGAGGGACGTTGACAGTATTCGTCAACAAAAAATGGGTTAGCAATACGTGCGCAGCGGTAAATTAAAAAAAAAAAAAGGAAAAACGAAAAGGAAAGTATGTGCGGTGCCTTAAAAAAATAAAAAAAATAAAAAGGAAAAACGAAAAGGAAAGGACGTGCGCTGCCTTAAAAAAAAAAAAAAAAAAAAAGTACGCAGCCCTCACTAATCTTACAGATATTGCCATTCTTCGGGTAATCGCAAGTTTACCTTTTATGTAGTATTAATATTATTATCGTGAACGAAATGTTTTGATGTGCGGCTGCAATTAATTGTGACGATGATATCAATAACCTCTAGTGAAAGGCGAAAAAAAATTTGAGAGAAGGATATAGTATAGTTAATTTAAAAAAAAAAAAAAAAAAAAAAAAAGCGCTCTACCCCTTGAAGGTCATCATATGAAGTATTTCTTCGCAAAATTTAGACAAAGGTGCAATTTGCATTTTAGGGTCCATTTGTGGTGGAATTTCCTCCACATTTCGAAAAATCAGCAAAGCAAATAACGACGCTTCATAGTGGCTTTGAGGAGCATTACACTCTCAATCAGGTTACCCATATTTATTATCATATTTATTTATTTATTTATTTTTACCATAATTAATCTCTCTGTTTTAATAATCTCTACCGTTGAGTGTCAAGAATCAACGGCAGGTGTCGTGAAAGATGGGATTGAGAAGAGGGCGATGCTATATATTACACAGAGAGAGAGAGAGAGAGAGAGAGAGAGAGAGAGAGAGAGAGGGAGAGAGAGAGAGAGAGGGAGAGAGAGAGAGAGAGAGAGGGAGGGAGGGAGGGAGAGGGAGAGGGAGAGTCTGCTATGTTCATTTTCCGAATTTTGCTGTCAGATCTCCTCCACCCTTTCCTCAACAGGTATGGCCGCGTTTTTTTGAAATCTCTCCCCGCCCTTTTTCTTCAGAGGTTTCTGCCCGTTTCTGACAGGTTTTCCCGCCCGATTCTGACAGGTTTTCCCGCCCTTTTTTTCAAAGGTCTTCCTACCCCCTTGGTCTCTTTTAACCCCCGTTTAAGAGATGAACTATCGTCACAGAATGCTTTCAGGGTCTCTCTTTTAATATGTGATGACGTCTCTCTCTTCCTTTTTTGCCTCATCTTAGAGTTGGACCCCACTGGCCGGCGGGTGGAAAAGCATACCTGCCACAAAATACGGCCAAAGGCATTTGGAAAGAAATGGGCAGATTTAAAAAAATGGTATCTCACTGTCACCGCAAAACGGGAACTGGAAACGATGCCACGTTCTCGAAACGGAAAATCCGAAGGGGTCCCTCCCCAAATAGGTAAGTTCCCCGTAAGGACTGTCCATCACAAAATTGTCCTCTGCACGGTCGATTGGGCCACACCCTCCAGCGATTGGACTACACCCACCTGGCCTCCGATGCCGAAACGGAAAATCCGAAGGGGTCCCTCCCCAATAGGTAAGTTCCGTAAGGACTGTCCATCACAAAATTGTCCTCTGCACCGTCGATTGGGCCACACCCTCCAGCGATTGGACTACACCCACCTGGCCGCCATTGGAGGACATGGCCCCCCCCCTACTCCGCTGGACGTACTGTTTGGAAAACCTCTGGAAAGACTTCGCAGTGAACTTCCTGACCGCCGACCGTGTAGAAACACCCCGTCAACATTTCGGCAACCTTCTTCCATACACGGTGGGGTCCAAAATTCCTTTCCAAAAGGACTTTCCATACCCTGTCTCTTATACACATCTAGATGTGTATAAGAGACAGGGTGAAAAGTACTGAAGGGCATGATCCACTACCCTTCTTCCATGCGCCGGCATTATGGGCCGCTAGGCTGAATTGGGATTGAAACTTTGTCTCTCTCTTCCCTTTCTCTCTCCCCCCTCCCACCCCCCGGGGTCATTATATCTGGTTCAGGGTGGGGTCTGGAAAGCAGTGTGGCGCCCAAAGTTTCAGGCCGCGGGGCAGTGGGGTCCACTGCTTATTCAGTCCTCTCGCTCTCTCTCTCCCCCCTCCCACGCCCCGGGGTCATTATATCTGGTTCAGGTTTGCTTTCCATCGCATGCTGTCTCTCTTTCCTCCACCGGTCTCCTTTCGAGGATTTTTTTTCTTTTTCTTTTTTATACAGGTCAAGTTTTCCAAATGCCCCTCTGACTTTGATTTATATGCGGTATGCCCCTCCGACGGCCGACTTACCCTGTCGCGTCCCTTTGACAACAACCCCTGGCGCCGTTATGGCCTGAAATATGTTCAATATGCCCTTACCGCTACCTGTTCCAAATTCCCTGTATGCCCCGGTAGCTCCCTTCCAAGGGCCAAGGGAATGGCCACGAGTGCCACGGACGACCACAGGGGTATGCTGGAAAGTTTGCACCCCTCACGGACAGGGGCCTAAGGGGTATGCTGGAAAGTTTGCACCCCTCAC